CGAAAACTTATAACTTACCCAAATATATTCAGCCGCAACAGGATGAATGTAGATATAATAAAGACGCAAAAATGTCTATATTTCTTCCCAATTTATTAGGTACTTTAATATATAACACATACACTTATTAATTCTTTAGTAAAAACAGATAACAATATGACACATTGCCCATTGGGACCTAACGAGAAGTTTTATAATAAAAAAATGAAAAAATCCTACCACATCAATAATGTGATGCGTCAGCCGGCATGTAGAGAGAAACATAGCTATGCTACGTTGAAGGCGAAGAGAGACATGCACTGAAAGTCGATGAATTGGCGGTGTGAATTAATTACAGCGTAAACCTATGACATCTCTCATCGTTTCTTGTTATATCTTTGTTAATTCAAAAGCAGAAATATGGTGTTTACTCTGTTACCTTGTCAACACATAAACAAAATTTTTATGATTTCTTTTTTCATTTAGGCCTTCCTTTTTTGTTAAATGAGTGGTATATTTAAAAAAGACGACTTTTTAACCAAATTTTTGAAGAGCTGAAACTGAGATATTTACGTTTAATTTTTTTTCTGCCGTAAGTACTAATGCAAATGATTTTTAAGTATAAACAGTTACTCCCTTCAAAGATTTTATTGTGCATTGGAACAAAAAATGAGTAATTTTTTCTCTATTCGGCGGTATCAATATCTGGTTTTTTGGCGATAGTGCCCTTCTGCACAGTCTTATTTTGTATTACCTCTGGAATAAGGGTTACCTTATCATGACCTTTTATCTCTGAAAAATTCAGCTTATGGCAAAAGAGTGGGAGGTAAATCGTTTTCTAGCGCGAATATTTTAATACATACACTCTACGTAAGGGCATCAACTAGGTAGATAGGTTCTGTAAAGTATGAACAAAGAAGTTCTTTAGTGGGCTTCAATTTATTTTCTATAGGTACCTATGCCTTTATTTATAACAATACGGTTATAAAAGCAGAATGCGAACAATTGAGTTGATCACCCCAATGCTGACAAGCTCTATAAAGTGCTCTATTAGTGCGTAATTGTTTAATATTTCAATTTGTGTTATTGACACGCCAATAAGTTTTAAATAGAAATTATATAGATTTAAAAAAATACGTATTTTAAAAATATTTTTGAGTACACTTGGTGTTGCGTTTTTGTCTGGCAAATAAATAGAACATTCTGTATTTTATTTTAGTTTTAGGTTTGATAGTACTGTATGTAGCCCTAGAAACTGTATGTAGCCCTAGAAACTGTATGTAGCCCTAGAAACTGTATGTAGCCCTAGAAACTGTATGTAGCCCTAGAATTTTGTTAAAAAATATAACAGGTTTGTCAAGCCATTATTTTTTTTACGTAATTAGAGAATGATGCAGATCCCAAATTAAATTATCATAATTTAGGTAGGTTTACAATGATTCAAAACTGTTTCAAATACATAATTATAAGATACTAAGCTAACGAGTAGTGGTGATAGAATTGGTTTATTTTATGTCTTAAATATAACCAATTTTAAGTTGAATTTCGTCAATTTTTTCAAATGCAAAATTTTAGCATAAAATTTCTTTAAATTTACCTATCCAACGATACCAACATGTTAGCCAATAACACAAATACAGGGTGTCCCATTAGTGCGTAATTGATCAATAGCTGTTTTAATATTGGAAATAAGAAACACAAAAATAATAAAGTTGTTTGACCGTGTTTAATAAAAATTCTTAAATATACATAAACGAGGGGCTGACCCATATCTGCTTGTTTTCACATCGTCAATCAATTTTAATAGACTTCATTTATTTGCTATGTTGAATATAGGGTGTGTTAAAATTTTCAATTTTCTCAATTTTTTTAAATGGAATACCCTATATGTTATACCACCAATTGATTAATACAGGGTCCATTTACAAAATTGAGAAAATCGTAACCTCACGTTTTGACACACCCTATACAACATAGCAAATTAATGAAGTTAATTTTATTAAAATTGATTGACGATGAGAAAACAAAATTAGTATAACAACCTGCAGGGTGTTTTGCTTTTAAAAAGTATAGATTTGGTTCGCACCTCGTTTATGGACCACCCTGTATATTTAGGAATAATTGTTAAATATAATCATACAACTTTTATATTAAAAATTTCGTCGTATTTCTAATAATAAAACAGCTATCTATCAAATATGCGTTATTGGCTAACTATTGGTATCGTTGTATAGACAAATTTTTAAAAAAATTTATGATAAGATAATATACACGATGATGCATTTTAAAAAAATGAGTAAATTGAACTTAAAATCAGTTCTATCTCCACTATTCGTTAGCTTAGTATCTTGTAAGTCTGTATATTAAACAATTTTGAGATCAATGTAAACCTACCTAAATTATGATAATTTAATTTGCGGTCTGCATCATTCTCTAATTTCAAAAAAAATTAATGCAATAGTGTAATATTTTATAAAAATATTCTAGGATTGAATACAGTATTACTAAAATTTCTAAAAATAAAATACAGGGTATTCTATCTAAAAAATATACATTTTTATTTGCCAGGAAAAACGCAATACCCTGTATATCCAAAAATATTTTTAAAATATCTATTTTTCAAATCTATATAACTTTTATTAGCTTTTATTAGATTAAATTTGAAGTTTAAAATTTACTGTTTATTCATTTTTGAATTATCGTCAAAACCTAAAGTACAGTTGAAAACTACAAGTCGAAAAAAAAAAGCAATCCTATACTTTACTGGATACATGAAAGTTAAAACCTAATTTGAAAAAAAAAAATACATTTAAGCATATTAGATTTGTATGAATATTTGAAATATTCAATTTTATAAAACAACTAAAAGTACCATTAACACCTAGGCTCCAGTATCCAACAAAATAAGCAAGCAATAAATTTTTACCATCTCCGTACAGACATTTTCCGATCTCAAAGTATACAGGGCTTTCTCTCATTACTTACATATCCTTCATGCTCTTACGCAAATATTGAATATGTTTAATTCTTACAAAATTAAAAAAATCGAATACAAATCAACTTAATAATTGAAATGATATACATATTAGTAAACTCCTAAATAAGGACCTGCATATTTGAATTTATTTTTATTTTTATTCAAGACGACTTTAGCGCCATCTATTAGAGAAGCTCCGAATTAACCTGTGGCTACTGTATGCAGTTTTAGGAAGTTTTCTTTTATATTTTAGGCAATTATTACACATAAATGGCGATTTATAATTTATTCCAAAATTTACTTCAATGAGCTTTTAAGAAAATTGACGCAATTAATTTAGATATTTTAAGTGACATTTGTTGCTTTAGTATATAGCCTATTCAAAGAAGAATTATTTTCATCATCGGGTAATTATTACTGGTATATTTTTAGCTTTATTTCATCGTAAAAATTACCATATTTTGGGAATTATTTTTAAACGATCCCTTATAGTTAGAGACACCAAAAACCTTTATTGAACAGTAGTATATATCTATTATCGGCAGGAATTTTTTCACTTTTATCTTTGTTGTAGTTTCAGCTAAAAAGTCATTGAAAGAGCGTTGTGTATGCCTATGTTAAATACATTGCCCACGCCCGCCCTTAAAGAGTATGAATGGAAAGTAGATCAAGATTGAAGCCTGATACCCACTCTTAAGATTATGCTCGACCTGCTACCAGAAATAACAGAACTTATCATGCAAATGCAAAAAAGGTACTATACACCGATAATTTTCATACATGTACAATATGTTAACAATATTATTCTATTCTAGACTATGGAAGCAAAATTTGCAAATGCTGAAAAAATTATTGGCTACATCGGTTAATGCACCTGTATGGCACAGAAAAAGTGCAGAAATAGTTTGATCATGTAGATTAATGTGGTGAATCTGATTCTGATTAGTTTGAGTCTTGTACTTATATATTTTAATATTATTAATTTACGCTTTATATACTTCTAATTATTGAATTTTTTATTAGGAATTTATTGTATTCTGCAAAGCAATAGCCTTACTGTTTATAATCTATACTTATATATACTATGCTTATACCTTCCTTAAATAGTTTATATTTAATTTTTTAATTTTCCTCACAAAAAATCATGAAGTAATACACCCTATAAAACATTATTCGCCTTCATAGCGGATAAATCAATAATACCTATATAAAATAATGTAAGAGAGTCAAACAGATTGCATACATTTCATCCTTGAGAGAGAGACGCATACAGTCAAGAGACTGCTTCCTTTCCTGTAAAACCATGACATCAGTAATTGTTTATTGCTATATTTTTGTTAATTTGATAGCAAAAAATATAAGGAAAGCACTCTTATCTTGTCAATACACAGGCGAAACTTTTATGAAGAATATTTTTTTTTCGTTTAGGCCTTCGTTTTTCGTCAAATGAAAGGTATATTTCTAAAAGATTTTTTAACCAAATTTGTCGACTGCCAAAATAAGTTTTAATCTACACCATACTTATATTGTAAAATACATATTATTTTGTGCTATTGTGGAATATTTTTCGTTTCCTTTGTCTCGGAAGTAATTTTGTAGTATTTAGGCTCCACCTTTAAGTTGTAATTTTTATACCTACTAAACTACCGTTGCCCCGCAGGTCTTTTAGTTTGTAATGTAAATTTTCCTCTTAAGAATATAGAAAAGTATTTTCACAACTGACAATCATGGCTATCTGGTGAAATTAGTAGATTTGCTGCAATACAAAAATAAGCTCTATAAGAAATGCATTGCATTAAAATAACCCTGATATTTAAAGCACTAATCTTAAACCGTAAATTCTGAAAATCAGAGTCAAAACTGCAAGTCGATCGGGATTTCGTTCTAGAGATATCGTGTTGGCCCACATACATACACATGTACAGACGACGTTTTTGCACTTATAGCGATCGTAAACATAGAGAAAACTGTTGGTATGAACCCAAATGCAATACTGAGGACACATAGTTAAATAGAAAAGCTAATAATAAATATTATACCTTACCTTTTCCCCTGTAGTAGCAAATGGAGCATTAAACCACTGTTCAAAAGTGGAACAGCTTTTAAATATGGATGGCAATAGAAAATTTAAAAGTGCCCACAATTCCGGCAATTTATTCTGCAATGGTGTACCAGTCAGTAGTAGACGATAAGGAGCTGCATAATGAGTATTGAGTGTTTGAGTAAGCTTGCAATGATGATTTTTCATTCGGTGACCTTCATCAATAATCATGTATTTAAAAGGAACCTACAAATATTTTACTTTTAAAAAGGCATATTTATTATATCACTCAATATTTCATTTTGATATTTTAACAAGAAAGGTACTCTTGATTTTTCAATAACCAGCCCTTTACTCTCCATGACAAATATTCTGAAATAAGTGAATCGAATATTTTTGGAAGAGTAGATTGCAGAAATATTCCTTCTATATTTTTTTATGCCACGACTACATCCCGATTTATAAATATCCAAAATCTGGAAATACTTCTGATTCAAGTAAAATATAGATAGGAATATTAATAGTACAGCCTCTTTAAGAAGATGGAACTCCATCCAGACCACAAGAGAAACTGTTTTTTTAAATAAGAATTTTTAGAAAAACTCAATGACACTTTAACATTATTTACATTAATGGTTTTCTCTTAGTTCAATTCAGAATAAAGTTCTAGCTATAGTTTGTTTTATGCAGAGATTGTTAATACGGAGGTATCTGGCCATGCTTTCCCTTATAGCCAGCGTTGTTAGTAATTATAAATTAATCTCTTGAGTGTCCTCTAAAAAGTGTCATAATTTCTGGATTACATTCATAAAATTTAAGAAAGCTTTTTTAATATCTATAGTTTTCAAAAAACCATTTTGTTATTACCTTTGAAAGAATACCTTTATCCTTTATAATATACTCATATGTGGTAAGTAAAACATTAAATTTTGCGGCTTTCATTTGACTCTGTAATACCCGTCGAGTAGCTGGAGACCCCTTGTAAGACACAATAATTACTGAAGGGGCCCACTTTTCAAACTCCAACATCCAATTTGAGATAGTACTAAAACACAAAAATACAGATGAAAACGTTTCATTTTATTATAGAAATACAAGTTAAATCCAGTTTATTATAACACGAAATGCTAGTCTAACTCATTGAATTGGCATTACATTGACACAAAACAGACATACATATGTATTCAGGTAGCAACTTTAAATATTTACCTATCTATACATCATTAAAGAATAAAGATAGACATGTCAATGTCAATTCAATGGAAAAGTAGAGTTGGGCGATTTTTCGAAGACACTGTGAACCGTTACTGTGATTAGTAAAATTTATATAAATGAGGTTATGTCTCATTAACAAATTAAATAATTATTTATATTTTTCCCAAACACTTGTGAAATCGATATGTAAATGTAAGCATGTAAATAGTGTCAGCTGATCTATATTTTTAAGTATTAATAATCAAATAGTCCAAAATATCACCCAACACTAGTAACAGTGAATTAAAAGTTTATTCAAGTTTACCCATATGTAACTTATAAATACGTTTAAATAATCTTTGTGAATTAGGAGGATATTATTGTACTCATAAATTAGATACAGTGTGTATAATGACACGAATTTCCTACAAGGTGACATCTCAAAAAATCCAAAATAAAATGTAACTTACGACAATGGAACAATGATCAGATAAGGTCCATTGACCTTTTTTTTCTCCATTAAATAGGTGATCAAACCAATAGTTTGAATTGTTTTTCCTAAACCCATCTCATCAGCAAGAATGCCATTTAGATTATTATTATAAAGAGAGACCATCCATTCTAATCCTTTTACTTGATATTCTTTTAATTGTCCGTTGACCATAATTGATGCCTGTTCAGTCACCATTTCACTTACTGTATGAGCAATACTATAATAAGTTTGTTCTTCTAAAGTGTTCTTATTGTATTCATCATCTTCTACCTAGAACATTTGAATACTCAATATATAAACGAGAATGATTAGTCAAAACATTGCATATCTTGAACAGGCTGGACCAAATCCCATTTAAAAACAAAAGAAAACGTAGCTAAAATTGATCCAGATTAAGAGTAAAAATCTAATGTATTTATGGCAACTGGCAACAGTCTTACCAATGATTAGGATTTTTCCTGATTTTCGGGTATTTTTGGCCAACTTATGAACTGTCATAAATTGACTACTGTTTGTGCGTACCTTGATCAATTTCAGCTTATTTTTTTTTAACCTCAGTATAAGTAAAAATACAGTAGCAACAGCTTCAAGCGACTCCTTTGATGTCGGGATGGTCAGATTTTTATAAACAGTTCACTCTTTTGTCACTTATTTGTAGATGGAGAAAAGTAACTGCAAAATAACTTGTCCCTTTGTCTGTTTGAATAAAATATACAACAAATAAACGAACAAAACTAAGTTTAAATAAAATAAAAATGTCTTAATATATTCATTACAGTCAAATAAATAAAACAATCAACAAACAATCGCACAACTATCGCACGCCAATTTGACGTATTTAATGTGTTTATTTACCGATATGGGAAAAAAATATAGACCCCCTCATAAACAATGAACTGTCGTTACTGTATTTATTCTTATACTGGGGTTTGTAGACACTACAGTGGCCTTATCGCACAAGCTCTGCTTTTAGGGTTAAAATTCACTCATAAGGGGGTGAATAGAGAGAGAGAGCAATATTATTATATGTGCTTAATAACTCTAAACGGCTCTAAACTAAATCCAAACTGACACTTAAAAAGAAGAATTGTGTACTCAGATATATGTGAATTGATAACTCCATATGAATGATGCTTGGATAATGATATGCTGTTTCGACTGTAAGTAATTTATATAACGAGAACTTGATAAATAATCGAGTATTTTTATTGTATTTAAATTTTGAGTGTTTTTGATATAATTTTGTAGAGACATAATTTTGTCATTAATAATCTAAATAGAGTCCGAAAGCTTTAATTCGAGGACTCTATTCTTTGATTATTAATAACAAAATTATGTCGTGACAAATTGCAAAATACAAGAAAAATTTAGTAACAATAGAAATGGGCACTAATTTATTAAAGTTGAATTATATTTATTTAATGAGATTATTTCTAGAGCCTTAGATGTAACTTAAATTAATAAATGCACAATAAAATAAAGTTAATTTTAAAACGTTCAAAATATATTAGCTTGTACTCTAATAAATATATTTAACAGTAGCAGTTATTAAATATTACACCTATAATCAAGTATTCGAATTGCTGTCAACCTAGGTGAATATCAAGCACCATGCATAATAGTCAATATGAAATAGTCAGTGAAAATAGTCGATTTATTTAGTTCTAATTCGTTGTAACGATAACTTAAATTGCGATGTGATTGGTCAAAATTTCAAAGTTGACAGGCGAGGGAAATAATCAAAATTATTTAATAATATTCCAACTAAAAAAAGAAAAAAAAAAAAGAAAAAAAAAGCAAAAAAAAAGAAAAAAAAAAGCAAAAAAGAAAAAAAAAGAAAAAAAAAGCAAAAAAAAAGAAAAAAAAAAAAAAAGCAAAAAAAAGAAGAAAAAAAAGAAAAAAAAAATGAACTATTTACTTTAGCTTTCTTAATCACTTCTCTTGCATCAAATTCCCTAATCGCATCATAATCATCGTATCTTTTTTGTTCTTCATACTCGTCTTCATCTTCTGTATCTATCATTTCCCAACCTGGATGAAGCTGTAACCATTCCTGCAACTCATTAACTGTTGGTGCAGTATCTCCAGAAATTTTATTTCCAGTAGCTATTTCAATCACAGTAACTTTTCGATCCGGTTGTTGCATTTTCTCTTGTCGCCTTTTACGCCTTTCTTCTTCCCTTTTTTTATTGGTTTGTTCCACTTTATGTTGTTTTACCATTTCAGTTAAGTTAAGGATGTATTCATCTGTTTGAGAGAGCAAGAATGCCAAACGTTTATCTTTCTTCTGATCAATCAACTTTCTGTAACCTTCTTCATCTTCTGCCATCAGTCTATAAAAAGTATTACAATGTGTATTTATATTATTAATTCAAATTACTTATTTATTTATTTAATTCTATGATTAGTTGATTACTAGATCTTATAACTTTAGGAATATAAGAATTAGAACCATACAGTTCATCAAATTTCTAGAGGCTTTCGACGGCTAGACAGAGAAAGCACTATTGACAGGATTTACGCAATGAAAGTACACTCTGCGTATCAAGTATTTCACTATTTCATTCAGACGTAAATGTCAGATGTAAATTTCGCTAAAACATTTCTTTTATTTTCGTTTGTGTTTTTTGCTCATTACAGTTTAATAGAACCTAAGTTTAATAGCAAATTAAGAGGCCGCGTGATTAACAGTCAATCTCGCGAAATAATAGCCAATGTTATAGAGTTTATGAGAAGAGAAGGAAACTTTAATTCACCTTCAATACCATTTAAAAATGTAAATGATCGTGTTGCTGCAGCCACAGGAGTATCTAAAAACACTGTCGTCCGCATTTCTGGAGAAAAAAAAAGAATCGATAACCGTGAGATATCGGAATTTTCATCACCAAGAAAAACCATTAAAAAACCAAAAACAGTTAATGATATAGATGAAGCTGCACAAGAATCAAATTTTATTTTTTTATTATTAGATAGCTATTTTTGTTTCTGAGTTGTGTTCATTTACAGGCTCAATTTTTTTCCGTTTCTCCTTTTTGATTTTATATGGGGTTTCAAGTTGTTTTTGACTTATTTCGACGTAAATCACAACAACACACTTTTTTAATAAAGCAAACAAGTGTTAAGAGGTATATGTACGTGTAAACTACAATTACAAAAAATTGATATGAAACCCATGAAACCACCAACAAAAATGTAAAGCTACCTTCCGTACTAGAACATGGTGTCATTCGTCGAGATAATTTATCGTTTTGTTTAATAGATCAAGAAATGTAAATATTCCCCTGTTATTTTTTATAAAATTATAAGAGAAATAAATTTTTTTCTAAATAGTATAGTTTATTATTTTGTAGAAGAACAAAATTTCGAAAATTTTAGTAATGTTTCAGAAACAACCGTTATTAATAATATTTTCCTTAATAAGGTAGAAATAAAATATATACTATTTCCACGATTTACAAAGGCCTACAAAAAAATTATAGGTATTTTCCGCTATCCTATAAAATTTATATTTTCTGACTCAATTTCAAAAGGTTGAAGGAATTCCAAAACACCTTTTATGGCATAATAATTATTTTCAATTCTACATACTATCTTTAGCTGCTTTTAAAAACGTTCTAAGAAAGTCCAATCAGACCAATTTAATCCCTAAACTATTCCACACTTTTAAAATTTAATTACCTAAAAATATTAAAAACTATTTAAAATAACTTGTTTAGCAGACTGTACAATAGCTATCTTAGTCACACGTAGCGCGTTCTCTGTCTGGGCGTCGAACACCTCTAGAAATTTGATGAACTGTACTTTGTTTTATAGAAGGGTTGGATGAAGATATTAGCATTCCTAGTTGCTGTAGAGGGTAGAGAAATTTTAATTTGAGATAACTAGGGTCAATCTGCATATGAATGAATTATAATAAAACTTAAGATCTTTTTGATTTCATCTACTCAGAAGGGTCTCGAGATAACAAAGAGTGTTTAATTCGTCATAAGTTTATTGTATCTAGGCGATTTCATGCTAGATATAATTCATATAAAACTAGAAAGAATTTTCAAAAAACGTAAGTCTATGACTAAATATAATAGGTACCTTTAAAATTAAGTGGGTAGTGTAATTTTTTATATGCTTTTACAAAGATGGTGCTGAGGTGCAAAATGGTTTTTCATTTACTGAAAAATTGGAACAGATTTGAACTATTCTCTTGTGAATCACCCTGGTTCAGTATAGAGATGGATTATTTTAGACAATATTAATGTGAGAGAGAAAAGAAAATGTTAAAATAACAAAAATTAAAATCAATTGTATAGGCCATGACCACAAATGAAAAAATACCAAATTGAAAAGAAAATGTAATGAATAAAAATATAAAAAATAGACTAAAAACAAATTTAATGAAATATACAAAACTTACTTCTTCATACGCTCTTTCTCCCTTCTTTCTTGTTCTTTCTTCTGTTCCCGCTCAGCATTTGCATGATAAGCAATAATAGCCTTATTGATTTTTGATAACTTGGATTGATTCTGTCGATGGAACTCTTTAAATTCTTTTGCATGGGCTAGCACAGTATTCAAAAATTCTTGATTTTTCTGACGCTTTTTCCTTTCTGCTTCAAGTTTTTGTTGTTTCTCCAATTTTTCTGTTGCTCGCGCTTCGCGTAGGCTGTGACGTTTTGTCCTTTTAAATGCTTTAACATTAACTGCTGTTTCTAAAGTAGTATCTCTACGAATACAACTTAAAACCTCATTTCGTAGCTGCCTTTGAAGGTTTAAACACCTCAGAGCTCTAAGTTCTATCTGAGCTTGAATACGAAGTTTGTCTGACATATTTGTTGGTAAGTTGCTAACTTGTTCAATTCTAGCAGCAATCCTAGCAGCAACCCGATATTCTCTTTCTTGAAGAAGAACTACAGGATCAATACATTGTGGTTTAGTAAGAGCTATGCGGCCTTCCTTATTTGAAGAATCAACGGTTTTTTGTTTCTGAATGTTAGAGAAACCTGAAATATAAGCATTGTATGTGTGTACAAGTGACAAACTTAGCGTACCCCAAAAATTGAGGTAATTTTATTCTACTACTGCCCACCCAAACTCAAAACTCAAGAGCCACAACTGGCATGGAAATGCCCTTAAGACAGAAAAGAGCCAGTGAAAGGCTTTAGACTTGGTGCAGTTTGTAATCCTTTGACCTCATTTTTGAAAAAAAAAATACTTATTCGTTGTATCCTCACAGCCTGTTATTGTTATACATATTTATTAAAATTGTTTTGTCAGAAAAACATGTTATTAAAGATTGTTACTGTCGCAACACATCTTTAAGTGTGGCAATAAAAGACCTAAGGTTTAAATTCAAAACATGAGTCGTCATGAGTAAATTTATTTGCTAAAGGATTTATTGTGTTATGTTTTGAAAAGTTAAATGATTAATCAGGCTAGCTGGTCGGTTTTTTATTCTAACATTATTAATTAAAACTCTTCAAAATACCTTGCAATCTATCTCCAGTAGACATAATTTCATTTGAAGTTTTTGGACTGCCTGACAGGTTATGTAGCTGTGGTGACTTTTCCAACGTTTTACCTTGCAAACCCAACGTTATTGATGTAGGAAGAGGTTGATTTCTTGCCAAACACCTAAAAAAATAATATTAATGAATGCAAGTTAGTTTTTAAGTATTATTATCACTGATGTAAGTAAACAATTTTGCATATTTGACTGTTGTGTATTTATTATTTCATAGCATTATGACGTATGGGTTAATACTTTGGGGAAATACAAGCAACCAACTTAGGGTATTTACTGAACAAAAAAAAGTAATACGTATCGTGACATCGAGTAGCTTCAATAGTCACTGCCAACCTATTTTTAAACAGTTGGGTATTTTACCACTACCATGTTGTTTTATTTTAGAGTGTCTTTTATACATGAAAAAACAAATTGGTAATAATAATGTTATAAGACAGAGCTCTAAACATTCTTATTGCATCAGAGGAAAGAATGATATATCTTTACCTAATTACAGATTAACCAAACTTCATGATTCTTAGATATATTAGCATTAAACTGTACAATTCCCTACCTCAAGCTTATAAAAACTCATCTTTTAATTTTTTTTAAAATAAGAATTTGCAAATTTTTGTCAAGTTACTGCTTTTATTCCATTGACGAATTCTGCATGTGAGTTGATGAATATACCTTTTTAATTTTTATCTTTTTTTTTAAGTATGTTATGTGTATGTGCATCTATATTTTTTTGTTTGTCTGTATTTTTCTAAATTGTAACTGTATTTTCTGTATCTATACCTATATATCTTTTTTTATGCTTTTAACATTGACACGTAAAAAATTTATTTTTATTTTACATCAATAAATATCTACCTATCTATGCTTATATGCGTGAAAAAGATATTAAAAGTATACCCTATTGCTTAAAAAATTTTCATTTTACCTGCTGAGAGAAAGACCAGCATTTTTCTAGAAGTCAGTGAATGCTTATGCAGCCTTTAACATGAACAGAACAGTAATCGGCTGACTGAATATTTAGAAAGCAACAAAATACTTCATTGTAACCAATATAATTTTAGAAAAAAGCGTAGCACTACACAAGCAATAAAGCAGGTTGTGAGTGACATAGTTTGTGGGCTGGAGGATGGGCACTTTGTATCATTAACTTTGTGTGACCTGTCAAAGGCTTTTGACCGTGTCTCTCACAAATTCCTCGCTGACAAAATGTTTAAATATGGCATTCAAGGAGTACCCCACAATCTGTTCAAATCTTATTTAACAAATCGAAAACAAGCAGTTTGTGTCAATATTATTTCAGATCTATTCAATATAGATTATGGCGTCCCACAGGGGTCCATATTAGGCCTTACCTTGTTTATATTAATCTTAAATGACATATTCCATCTTGTCCATCCATTAAAATGTGTCTTTTAGCAGATAATACATAATTCCTGAATAGGGTCACAGATTTATATGAATTAAAGGGAAAATATCAAATAGTATAGCAAAAGTAAAAGTTAAGGCTTTTGGTAGGTAGAGAGGGGGTAAACGTCGAACCACGTCGGACGGCTTCGAGAATTTCGCAGTAATGTTTACCTGCCAGTGTCGTTTCATAGAATAAGTAATTTTAAATTGTTATCGGCGGACAATCGCATGTATTTATGGACTACTAGCTTTTGCCCGCAGCTTTGCATGCGTGGTGTGTTTATATTTTAAGAAATTAAAGGTTATTAATTCTTATTAATTTTTATTAATTTCTATTAATTTCTATTAATTTCTATTAATTTTTATTAATTTTTATTAATTTTTATTAATTTTTATTAATTTTTATTAATTTTTATTAATTTTTATTAATTTTTATTAATTTTTATTAATTTTTATTAATTTTTATTAATTTTTATTAATTTTTATTAATTTTTATTAATTTTTATTAATTTTTATTAATTTTTATTAATTTTTATTAATTTGTATTAATTTTTATTAATTTTTATTCATTTTTATTAATTTTTATTATTTTTTATTAATTTTTATTATTTTTTATTATTTTATTTTTTATTAATTTTTATTAATTTTTATTAATTTTTATTAGTTTTTATTAGTTTTTATTTGTTTTTATTTATTTTTATTTAT